CATAACTCCTAAGGATTTAATATAGAGATTTCCAAAACCAATTATGAAATCTATATCTATCTAAGATTTTAAAATACTCATAACTCCTAAGGATTTAATATAGAGATTTCTTTTCCTTTTAAACTAAGTCCATAATATTTTTTAATTACAATAATTTCAAGAGCGTACTGTTATCTAATCAAAAATTCGATCGGTAAAAGCTGTATATTTTCCAGTGTACAAGCGAAATCAATCAACAGTATATGGACGCGTCAAAAATCAGCAAATGTGAAATACTCTTCCACCAACATCCCGGCCCAATCGAGGTGAAAGGTTATCGGGGTCCTCGGGGCTCCTCTCGACTGCCACTCCCCCTTTTTCGGTCACTTCGGCCCCCCCCCAGGACCCAAAAGTAAATGAAGCAAGAAAGAAAAAAACGAAGCGAATAACGCAAAAGCAAAAATGGAAAAGGCCACAGGCAATCGATGAATTCATTTTTGGTATTCACCGAAATTGTTCAAACAATTATCGATATGAATAAAAGAAGCAAGAGCTTTCTCCGGCGATTTTTATGAATAGCAATCTTGAGGGGCATTGAATTTTCGGCAGGGATTTATTAGAGGGTAGTCCTCCAAACAAAAGTTCTCGATATTCATGAATTCAAGTGCCGAACTGAAAGAGGCTAAAGTTGACTCAAGTGGTTTTTCCTTTGCTGAATTAATTATCGATAACGAGATAACGATGTGAGTGCGTGTGTTTTTTCCATTGTCCCATTTTTTGCCAATGTACAAGGTAAATTAATGCCAATATTTATGGATGTTTTTGGCCGATAAGCTATCCGAAAATCAGGAAAGCCAACTTATTACAACAGGCAGCTATTGCGGCTGGTAAATGTCAATTAACCATATAATTTGCATTTGGTTTGGCATTTATTAGGAACCATAAAAAGGAAAATAAATGTTTTGTATAATCTATATTTCCTGTAAACTTCCTAATTGCTTATTAAAATTCAATGAAAATAATAAGTAGGCACTCATAGGTAGTAATCTCTTTTAAAAACCTACTAATGAACCAATCCATACAGATTATTAATTTAAAAATAAGACAGATCAAAGCAAACTCAATTCTGAAGAATTCGCCACAAAAGCGTGCCACATACGAATAATTAACTTTTTGAATTCCCCGAAAAAGGCCAAGTACCTTATGAGAAACAAAAGCAAAATACTGAAATATGGAGCTCATTGAACGGGAAAAAATAAGAAATCAGAGATGATGACTCGTGGACTATGACCACAGACATATATCTATATATATATGAACATATCGTATAGATATATACACCCTCGCTGACGTCGAGTGAGTGAATCGTAATGAGTTTTGAAATGTACACCAGGACGCTTTTGTGTCATTACGGGGCAGAATGGAAAATGGGGCCCCCATCTCACTGCCATTAGCATTTAGTAGGGATGGAACAGGAGGGTTGATATATATCCACCTCTGCAGTGCCACATCCGACAAGAATATCAAGAATATTGGACGGGATGGGTCGGTTAATTGGAGCGCATGATTGATTACAGTTTCCATTAATTACGCTCACTTTGCTCGCTTTTCTGGTCATTAACCATTCGACAGGGGACTTTGGGGAAAAGCTATCAACGCGAAACCGGCGGGGTGACGACTTTTAAATTCAAAAGATTAACGAAATAAATCAAGATTCGATTTGGGATTGGGGAATTCGTAAGGAATGCAATTTTCCATTAGTCCATTAGCTTAGCAAGAGGCTACTTAAGATTCCCAGGGGACAGAAGATTTGGGAGTTCTTGTTTAAAGATGTATATTTATGCGTAAGCAACAAGGAAACGGGATTGGCATCTCGGGATCTCAGGTCTATTTATGGCAAATTCCCACATCGCAGACATATTTCACATTCAACACGATCTCTCTCCCAAAAAAAAATAAACATATACAAGTGCATTGGGTTGGATATATACATATATATCTGGGATATCTCACATCGCCTCGTATAGAAAGCGAAAGCGAAAACTGCGACATCCAGATGAAATGAATTGCAAAAAATCTAAAATGAAAAAAAAGAACCAAAGAAAAGCCAAACAACACCGAAATTTCAGGGGAAAAAGTGTAAAAATGATTGTGTTTTCTTTTCAGGAAAGTTTATTTGATGTATTTTTGGATAATAGGTTGGGAAATAAACACAATTGACATTTTATTTACAATAGTAGCAGTATGGTATAGTGGTATATATATTTATTTATATACATTGGGGTTTATGATCTCTATTATTTACAGTAAGAACAAGAAATACCTAATTGGGGTTTGGTTTTTATGTGTATTTCTTAGCGATGGGTAATTAACAATGATTTTGATGCGAGGAACTTTTCGTTTTAGTGCCTTTTGAGATAATAAAAGAGCTATTAACAAATTTGGGTTATGGTAGGACGCAGAAAAATAGTTTTAGATCAAAGCGTATTTCGGGATTTAGACTTATTTTTGTTAAGCAAAGTGTGTAGGTATTTTGGTGATAAAGATTTACCAACAATTTTCTTAGCTAAGTGTTGCTTTAATAATCCTAATGACTCACAGCTCTTTCCCATTTATAAGTTACTTTATAGTCTCGTTATATAATTCTTTTAATTAGAGTTTCCAAGCAAGAGGTATTAGTTTGACTTACAAGCCAAAGGAGCCATTAAATCATTTTCAATTGTCCTTTCTAAAATGCCATTAGAACTTCCATATCCCCAACAAAGCCTGCATTCAATTACTGACCCAATTCCAGTAATTGTCCCATTCACTATGCTTTCAATTTCCGTTGTAAAAAGTTCAGCTTAAAGTTCAAACCCCCCGAATGGTCTTAAAGTTGCCCCCCATCGTACTCAATAATTTATTTTTAGTTATGTTTTCGGGTTCGACCACAAACTCAATTTGGCTCTTCATGAATTTTCCATGTGCATCAAAGTGTGGGAAAACGGGAGGTCGCAAATGGGGGGGGGGGGGAGGTAGGTTAAAAGTACGGTGACGACGGGGTCATTGTTTTACTGGGTCGGGATGTCTGAAAGTCGAAAAATCTCATATTCCACCCTTCGAGGACTAATCCTTATGCATTTGCATGACCGCAAGCAAGCCAGCTACACACTGCTCTTTCTTCACGGGTCCTTTCTTTGGTAACGGATTTGGTCCTTTGCTCCTGTTGGGTTCCTCAATTTCCTTCCTTTGATTGCACAGCTCTTGAAAGCTCCTGTTCGTTCTTGTTCGGTTGCGGTTTGCGGTTTGGTTGCTCAGCCAACTTGGCCTAATCTGCATATACTGCACGGCGAGCAAAAATGTCAAGTATTCCGCACTTGAATCCCGTTCTCCCATTCTTTAATGCCGAAAAAAAAAAACAAAAAATTCCAAATAGACAGTTGGTAAGGCCCCACATTCTTGTGGGAGTGGTCCGAAAATCTATTTAAGCCCCTGTTGGTATGCCAAGTTGGACTAATTTTTGTGAAACAAAACTTTTGCCTGGTTTCTGTGCTGCAGACAATTTTTGGGGAATATTTAACATAGCAAGAAGAATTTTTGATTTATTTATGAGATTGCGGGCACTTTAAAGTTTGTTTCGGGTAATTTTGGTTCCCATTAAGAGTTTCTAGATTTGGCAAGTTTCTAATTAGTTTAGTGGTTACTTTTAGGAGTTATATTAATTGAGGAAAGTTTTTAGTTATTTCGTTTTAAGCAAATAGCAAAAAATAAGTCTAAGGAACTTGATATTTTTGATAGTGAAAAGAGTTAGAGAAAGACTTTATACAAATTATAAGGGATTTAAATATAATAAATCACTTGAAACTCTTTATAATATTATATATCTAACAGTGATTTTATATTTTAGTAATACTGAGAATAAGTTGTGAACTATTTACTTATATTTCTTGGACTCTTGAATGCTTTATAAGTCTTTTGTAACCTTTTCAAACTAATAGTTCATGTTTTATAATATATTTTATGTGAACCAATGGAATGCTATGGTATTGTAGTAACTGTAGTAAGTTAAGTTTATTCAGAACTTATTTAAGGCGTAAGGCGAGTGAATTGCTCCTTATTTTCTTTTAAGCCGTGCTAATAAGTTCAAGACTTTTCTCTATTACCTTCTTCACTTTTACTTACTCTTAATTATGTAGGTTTAATTTCTTGAGCTGATAAATTGTATTAGTTTGACTTTTAATTCTAAAGCTATAAGGCACTATCAGTTTTATAAGAAAAGCCCTTAACTTTCAATGGGCTTAAGAACTTCTAGTTATTCGTATCCTTTGCTGCTTTTGGATGTGTTTCTTTGGGATGTGTTAATTGTGTGATTTTTACCCGTTTGGGCAGTAACTTTCTCTCAGTGTACGTGTGAGTGTGTTTGTAAGTGGCCAACTGCAGCTGTGAGTTGAGGAATGTGCACGCATAACTCATTTAGCATTCCTCCTAGCTCCCTCCTCCGCCTTCTCCACCTTCTTCTCCTTCCTCTCCTTCTGCTTCTCCTCTTGCTCCTGTTTTCCCTTGCCCTTTTGTCCTTTTCAGCTGCTGCTTGCACTTTGGTTACAGTTATTGTCGTTCGTGTCGGTATGCCAAGTTTGGTGTGTGTGTGTGTGTTTGTGGGTGTGAAAGTGCAGGCGGGGTTTGCGGGTGTTAGTAAATATGCTATCTTTGTTGCAGTTGTTGTACACCGATAAAAAAGTATTTTATTAAATTAAACTTATTTTAATGAAATTGTTTATATATATAAAAAAGATTTTTACTTTGGGGTATTTGAAAATGTGAAAAAAACAGGTACATATATAATTTTCGAATGACAATAGCTGAACTTCAAAAAGGTCTTTCTCGTTTTCTCTCTTTTCCAAGGGAGAGAAAACGGTAAATTGCCTTTTTCAGTATCAAGTTAACATTTTATATACATACATATAAAAAAACGATGAATATGAAATCAATCTGTACATATATTTTTTTATCTGTTTATTACTTTTAGCGGAAGGGGTACCCACTTTGATATTTTGCGACGCCTTCCAGCTATGTTCGTTGTTCTCGTTGTTTTTGTTCTTGTAATGGCTCCCTTAGTTAATAGCTGGTCCCGCTGGCGTTGTTGTTGTTGTTGTTGCTGCTGCTGCTGCTGCTGCTGATGTTGTTGTTCGTGTGATAAAATCGGCAATATTTGGCACGCGCGTGTCACTGTGCTGGTATACCAATACAAAGCAAATGCTGCTGCTGCTGTTCGTCCATATTGCCATTTATGCACATGCATGAGTCCCTGTGTGTGTGTGTCTGTGTCTGGTGTAGACGTGTGTGTGTGAGTGTGTGTGAACGCGCGCGACAAAGACGGAAAATCGTTGGACTTATGTATTGGGGAACTGCAGTTGTTGTTGCTGTTGTTGCTGTAGAATTTGCGTTTGTTGTCGAATTTGTTGCTGCTGCATTTTCTTTGGCATTTCCATTGGCCGCATTGGGCGCTTATTTTTCTTGCACTTGTTTTCTTTTTATATATATTTTTTTAACTATATATATTAACTATAGAATAACAAGAAAAAAAATGAATATATATATTGTTTATATATAGATGGGCAGGCATCTTTATATATATATATGTGTGTATATTTATGTGTGTACGACACCCACGACAACGTAAAACGAACGGAGAGCATTCAACTCCACTGCATGTCGAATTTGAACTATTTTACGGGTTTTTATTTTATTTTAATATATTTTTTTTGGTTGCATCTGTGCCTGTCTATTCTGGTCCTGTCTTTTTTTTCGAGGGGCTGTCGCAAACTTTTTCAGAGTTCAAAGCACCGAGAACTGATTACATTTGGCAAACTTTGTGTGTCGAAAACTTTGCCCTCTACCAAGGGGTGGGGGGGATTTTTTAACTCTCTTGCGCTCTAATTAACGGATTGACGTTGAATCTAAGCCGCTGATTGCCGATCCTGCTCTCTTGTGTTCCAAAGACCTGTCTACACGAACTAGATTTAATTAAAGTTGCAAACTTGGTTAATGGTATTTACTAAATACAATAGTTTTCTTGGAACAATTTGTTTTAACTTTCTTATGTGCTGAACTAACATTTCATTTGGCATTTCGAAATACTAGGAAAGGTTTTTTAAGAACTTAACTCGTGTAGAAAGGCCCTAAGCCGCTCTCCCTATCCTTAACATCTAAGCTACTCTTGAGATCACACTTCTCTTTTCTTGGCTTAATCTCACTCTTTATAAGATCTAAGCTTTAAGCAACATCGCTCTTTTGCTAACTGTTGTTGTTCTAGCACCTGAAGCCGTTGTTTTTGATTATAACACCTTACTGTGTGTGTGTGTGTGCCAGTGTGTTTGTGTGTGAGTGTTAAAGTTTTTGATTTTTTTTTTGGTATTTTTTTTGGAGTGCGCGACGTAGAACTCTCAACACACAGACAGACAGACAGACACAGCATATAACGGGACGGAGGGCGTCCGTCTCGCTTTCACGTTGATGTTTCCGTTAGTGTTGTTTGTGCGATACTGACTCAATTTGTTGCTCGGCACCGTGTATATAGCATTCGTCGGCATTCCCTTGCTCTCCTCCTTCTCCTGCTTCTTCCTCTGCTTCTGCTGCTGCTTCTTCTTCATTCTCTCCGCTCGGCTGTCGGTCGTTTTGTCGTTCGGTCGCCCAGCGGCTCTCTCCCTTTTCGCTTCCCCTCTTTCGCCGCCCGCTTTCTCCCGCCACTTTCTCTTCACCTCTCTGTCGCACTTGTGGGCGGGAAGTCGTTTAGTCCGTCCAGCGGCGGGGACATTTAACATTGTCTTTTGAGGGGGGATGGTGGGGCGCTTGGTGGTGTAAAAAACTTTGGATTGCACGTTTGGAAGGGAAAAACCCCTAAAGGTATGCTATTTTTAGATATCAACTTTCAAAACTCCTAGTTAAGAAAAAATAACGATTACATTGTATCGCGGAAATCTAATAATAATGATAGCTAAACAGAAAAAGCGATGAAAATAAATTGAATTTCCGAACTTTTAGGGACTGCCTTATATATCTAAAGAATGGAAACCATATCAAATAAATGTACAGGACTTTAAAACAATATTCTTCAGTTATGTATATTTAATAATCAGAAAGTCCTTATAAAGTTCAACAAAAATGTTGGTCTACGTGTCGTATGAGTAATATTTCGGTAACTAACCATGAAAAGGCAAGTTTCTGACTTTTCTATATACAATACTTGTGATTTATTTTAGCCACCCCTGCAGAGAACTCCCCACGACGCCACTGGGCCACACTTGCCACTTGTGTGCCACCAAACGAAATAAAAAAAAAAACACCATACAAGTATAAAGACACTTCGTTGAGTGCATGCAGAGCCAGGGCAACTGAATCGGGAATCGGGAGTCGTTACTCGGAATCGAAAATGGAAACAGAAATGAATTCAGAGTTTAAACCGGAGTCGAAGCTGTAGAGCCCCGAGACCTACAGGAGCGGAATAATTAGATAGCAATTACCAGGGATCTCTATGAAATGTACTACCATTTTCCATCTCGTTACGCTATAAACCTTTGTCTTAGTACATTTCCAAAGCAATTATCATCATTATTCCTAATTAAAATTAAGTTGTATTTATTTTTGTGACACATTTTATTTAATTTAACACATTTTACGGTTTATTTGAGACGGGGAATTAGAAATATGAACCTAATTACAGTTGGATCCACTGAAGCTGAATGGAAGATTAGAACCCAACTGCCCATTTTCTTATGCTCTGGTTGAGCTGTAAGTATCCATTAAATTCATTAGAGTGCCTTGGCACTTGTCAGTTTTACTGCCACATTTCAGTTTACGAGAGTATGAGAAAGCAGCCAAAAAGCACTTAACATTGACCTTAAGATGTTTAGACCTAGGGTTCAACTTTAAATGCAAATGAAACAGCTTCTAAATGATTATATGTGTTATTTTAATGATTAAGAATGGTGCTATTAAAAATTAATGTTCAGTTTAAATAAATGTCGTGTGAAACTAGCCAATATTGTTGATGGAACTATTTTAAGTAATTGTACAGATAAAAAATACAAGATATACAAATAGATATAGTTATAACAAGTTCTTGAGAACTAAACAAAGGTGATTATTAATAGAGCTGTTAAGATTTTAGTTTTCATTTTCATTGAGTGTTATATTTTATATATATATATATTAAAATTACAGTTCTACAAAGGTAATGCTTAAGGATATATGTATATTTGGTATATCTCTTTGAATTCCCATTGGAACCTGGAATCGCTGCCTCTAATTCGAAGGGTTAGTGGGTCAGGTTCAGGTCCGCCCCTGGTTGTCGGTACTCGTATTCGTATTCGTATTCCTATTCGTATTCGTGTTTTCTGTTTTCAACTCCTCGGATTCGGGTTCTGAATCGGAATGGAATCGGGGTCTCCAGAGTTCCGTTGCGTCACCGGCGTTTGTTTGCCGCCACCTTTAATGGGGGGAGTTGGTGGGTTGGTGGATTGGTGGATTGGTGGCTCGGTGGTTCAGTGGGTCGTCGGTGGGTCAAAGGGCCTCCGCCGGGGGGGAGGGGGCGGTGCACTGTTGAGGTAGCTGCGTGGTAATGGTGAATTTATGACTCTGTGGGCGGGAACAGATGGAAGCGAAAGGCGCGGTAGAGAGAGAAGAAAGAACGCTCCCGGCACTCGGCGCTTGGCGCTAACGGTGGTTGTTGATGCCTTGTTTTTTGTAATTCCCATTCACATTGTATATTGTATATTTCCCTTTTACCATTCTTTCGCGTTTTTGCGCTTGCCGCTTTTTGTTTTGTATGCGTTTTCGGTTACAGCTCGAAACTGGCACGAGTCAACTTTTATCGCACAATACACACACATGCCACTCAACCGCACTAACACAAGCGCACACTGGGGGGCGAAATTATAGAAATGGCTAATTAAATAAATTAACCAAGCAATAAACTTAAAGCAATGATAAAAACAATAGTATTTACGTAAAATCCTTTTACGATTTTCTCTTGACTGATGGAAAATTGCTTGATACCCATTGTGATCTATTTAACTTTTTTAAATATCTACAAACACTTTGATATTTTTGCTTGAATATTGCTTTTTTGAATATCTTTATATACTGTGTTATTTTTTATGTAAGACTAAGAATTTTACTGTTGTTGTTTACTGTCATCGTTTATAAATCATTTTTTGGAATTTAAGGAAAGAAACAACAATTAAATTGGACAAGATCTTAATAAAAACCTGCTAATTATTGTGAATATCTTTAAAATTTTTAATTTTAGAAGCTTACAAAAAAAAATGTTATAAATGTTTTTAAAAGGAAAATGTTAACAGAACATATAATATAGAACTTATCAAGAACCCTGACATCTAATATTTTGACCTTAACTGTCAATGAAAGACACACACATGGACATTGATTTTGCATTTGTTTTTGCAGGCCCGCTTTTGACTTAATGCCGCGATTATTATGGCAAAAACACACAGCCCAAAATAAAAGAAAAAAAAAATGAAAAGAAAACAACGCCAAAACAAGCAACAAACTAAAAAGCTTTTATTTTTCCCCAGGTGGGTTGGCTATCGAAAAACTAATGCCAGAGCCAATGGGCTCTATGTTAAACCTAGAGATTTCGGTCGGCAAAGGAATATGGAGAAAAAATGCTGACAATTTCGTTTTTAGGTTATACGATATCCCTTACCTGTCCAAACTTCATTCCACACACTCACACGTTTCCATAGATATAGAAATATGTACATATATATATAAAGGGCATATTGATTTGTGTTTTAGTAAGCCAGGTATTTCCCCCCTTGCTCAACCAACCCATTTAAATTGGGGAAATTTTTGTACATAATTTATAAAAAGCCTTTTGACTTAATAGTTGCCTCTGAAACAAAGTTATTCAGGCGAAATAAGTTTGGGGCCCCCAAAAGGTTTCCAAAAATAAACGAAGCCAAAAGAATCAATAAGATTGTGTCTTTTAGATTCGGGGCTTAATTATGCCATAGGACATCAAAAAATGTATTTGGGACTGGAATAATTAGTTAAGATATTGAATAGTATGGGATATGATAATAGGGTTTGTTATTCGCGAACCCTTTTTTATATATTTATCGCAAATTGCTAGTCTCTTGCACCTTGTCTGGATAATATATATCACCTGTCCTATGCCTCAAAACCCATCGAAGTTACAAATTGTATCTGTCCCATTAATATACAAGTCCTGCTGTTTCACCTTGAAAAAAAATGAAGACAAAATCGAGAAAATGATAGACGCGAGTTTGGAAAGAAAATGCCCGATTATTGGGGCCTGGCGCAGTTACGTACCATCCGAAAATTGGAGCACATTAATCAAACCAATTAATACCAAAGGAAAAAGGTCAGCCGTGGGCTCGTGACGCAGCAACAGGAGCGAAATTAGTGGGTTGAAAATGGGTTGAGGGCGGGGGTTACCCTCAGTATTAACCCTACTAATTTTCAAAATGGAAATGCCTTCATTTGGAAGTTGGGTTGGCGGGGGGCGTAGGCGGGGGCGGGGCCTAGGCGAAAATGATTAACGAACCAGCTTGCGACAGACAGCATATCATAATTTATTGATACCAGGCACACACTCACGCATTCTCGCCCCACACACACACACACAGACGAAGGACCCTCGCAGGACCTCCGGAGCTCAGTAATTCAGTAGCCCAGTAGGTGACTCCGTGGTCAAGGCTCTGTTGCCGTATAAGTTCTCCACGGACCCAACAGCTAGTTGGCTGGCTTCCTGTTCATGCACTCGAAGAAAATCCAGTTGATTCTGATCATCAGGAAGCGCACTCGAAGTTAACCTCGTTCGATCATCAGAAAACTTTAATAACTCATATTTCTATATTTTTTTTATGGATATTTTAATCAGACTAAAAGAGCATTTCAACGGATGGTTTTTTATTTTCTTGACTTATGAGGTGATCAAGGGGCGTATACGTAATATGAAATTAATTGGATATTGATAAAAGCATTTTCTTTACCTAGGGTATATGTTTTTAAAAATGCTTATTACAGCAAATAAAAAAGGGATATGGTAAAATAAAACAAGAATATTTAATTAATAATTTAAGGTTAAATATTTATTTTTATAGTTTATCCCTGAAAATACGAAAATATCTGTAAAACTTTTTGTGCTTCAAGAAATATTTCAGTTTAATTTGAAAACATTTTAAAGAAGTAAGCCAAAAAAATAAAATTTTACTAAATCAAATTAACCAAAATTTAAATTAGGAACTCCCTTTTGGTCTACATAAAGTAGTTACCACTTACATATATCAAAAAGGTTACGAAAATAATAGACCTAATGTTCCCCCAAGGCTTTGGTATTCCGTTTTGAAAGAACATTAGATCTTTTAAATATTTTTGTAACACTTTTAATATAAGAAGTTAAGTAATAAAATGTTTCGTTAACTTAAACTATTCCTTTTTTTCTGGGTGTATTACACCTCACATGAGGGACGTCACACACACACACGAGCAGTTTGAAAATCGGTGACCTACAAAACATTTAATCGTTGCCAACGGCCAAAAAGTTTTCGGTTACTTTCGGCGTGTGGTATTCTCCTACTTTTTTTATGGTGACGGTTTTTTTTTTTGGGAGCATGGGTTTGGGGATTTCGGTGGCTCTGGGAGACGAGCTGAGAGACACGCACGTGTTTTTTGTCCAAGGACTCGCGGGCCGAAGGACTCGAGGACATCTGCCTGCCGGCCAAAGAACCCAGCCCATTTACAACCACTTTTTTTCCCAATAAACGACAAAAAAATAACATTGAGGCAAACGCGTGTTCGGGGTTCTTTAGTTTAGCTTTTCGATAAACAGTGTTTAATTGTAGTTGTAGTTGTAGTTTTCTTCTTTTTTTTTTTTACATATCTTATACACAACATTTAGTCAAGAGATGAACTTAAGTGTTAGGCTTGAATTGAACGTAGAGTTAGGATATAGTACAAACTAGTTTAATATGATGCGAGCAATCCTAAGTAACCTATCCGAGCGAAGGGCTTATCGAAGGTATGGCAAATCGCATGGGGTAAAGTACCAGAAAGTATGCCTCATAGGGATAGAGATGAGTTTATAGTGAGTGGTCCGTTGCCGGTGGTTTCAAGTATGAGTATAAGACACAATTCATTGCATTCTGAGGATGAGAGGTCGATCAGGTGTGGGTCTAAGTGTACTATATATGCGATAGGTATAAATAAATCGAATAAACTGCTTCGTTTTTGGCACGCCTCAAACGCCCGCACAGACTCACAGACAGACCATTTATTATAAAGCTGAACAGGTTTGAAGGAAGGGAAGGTACACACACTCATTTTGGAATCATCCTACTATATATATATATATATATAAATGGTCTCTTAGACATCGACAACCATTTTCTTGTGGATATCGGTGTTGCCCACCACCGAGCAGAATTCATCGAACGATATCTTGCCATCCTCGTCCTTGTCCGCAAAGCAAATGGTCTTGTCCACGATCTGCTGCAATTGTGTGTCCTTCAGATTGTTGCCCACCATCATCTTGAGCACTTGGAAGAGTTCCCCATTCGAGATGTAGCCATCATTGTCCATATCGTAAATCCGAAAGGCGAATCGCAACTTGGACAGCTTATCGCCGCGCACACTAAACTGCGATACTCCTTGGATGAACTCCTTGAAGTCCACCTCGCCGTTGCCATCCGCATCGAAAATGTCGATCACCCGCTGAACCAGCGGATTCTGCTGCAATTCCGGTAGCGACATGAACTCATCTATGCTCAAGGCCCCCGAATTGTCCAAATCCAGTTTGCGGAACCGCTTGCCCAATCTCCGGATCTCGTCAGCATCAAAGTTGGAGCACATGTCCATGGGCAGGGAGGTTTCGTTACCCATGTTGGCTTTTGGTTATTAAATTCTCTGGTCTTGATCTGCGGGAAGGAGTTATCGTTAAAGTGGTTTTACTTTCTTATTTGCAGGGAAAATAACAACCAAATCAGTTTCATCATATTATATGTACCTATTGGAGAGTTTTCAAGATCTGAGGAGATCCTATAAACAGTGAATAAGATCGTATGGAACATATGCTATCTTTTCAAAACCCGATCGTACCAGATGGGTCTACAATTGAGAAAATTAAATGTGTTCTAAAAATTATTCACATATTCAGGATAAAATATGCTTATAGCAAACTTTTAGGCAGGTACACATAGCTTTTTATTTCCTCAATTATAAAAAAAGTTTATGGGAGTTATAAAGTAATGAATAGTTATATAGACTTCTCTAAAAATATTTTTGGTTATCTGTGATATAAAAAAAATATTTATGAAGATCACAAAAGGGCCACCTATGCTAGAAATTATTTTAGATATTGTTCTTGATTTGGTGGGTATTTTTTCGCTGCGTGTACAGTACGACCTCTTACCTGTGCTTTTGGTCTCCGGATTCTGGGGCGTTCAATCTCTTAATTTTCCACCGACTGACACACTCTATAAAGAAAAGGGGGGAGTGCAAGTTATCAGCATACTTTTAATTATGGCTCAATCGTATCGATTTTCCAAATTTCCAGGGATTTTCACTACTCGTTTCCGCTTTAACAAAGGAGTGGATTATCGGAAAATAAACCGTTTTCGGTAGTGGAAATAAACCAGGAAGCTTTGGTAATACCCTTTGAGAGATTCCTAGTGGTACCCATAGATATTTACCATAAATAAACAATAGCTCTGGTTTGTAAAACTCCCAAAAGTGCTCTCTACTCGCTCGACAGCAAATACACGACTGTGGACGAAAGAGAGAGTTTTTCACCATTAACGTGGATGCACTGTCTTCGTGTGTGTGTGTGGGGTGTGCGTGTGTGTCGCGGAGAGAGCCAGGTAAATGCCAAAAGTGAGAGCGCAGCTGTCAAATGCAGACAGCTGTTGCTTTTCCACCTGTTTTTTTGGGGGTTGGAAATCGTTTTGTACTGTCAACGCCGATTCCTTTTTACTTTTAAAGCATATTTTTAGGGTTTACAAGAGGCTTTCCCAACTTTATATAGCATACTTATTGGTTGACAGTCCTTTAGGGTTACAGGAAAATGCGTTAGGAAATTATTATTAAATTCCTGGTAGAGATGGACCATTGCATTAGACTAGAGATGAGCTTATTCGATAGCCATATTTAACACTTTTTTAATAAACATTCGATAGATTTTAGTCACTTTAAAGAACTTTTTACATATTATTATAGGAAGTTATTCAAAAATCGCTTAGTGGCTTTACTCCGAAAAATTCTGTTTCACAGTCCTATTAGGAATTTTAAATAATATGATATGTTATCTAATAGATATTTATCTTAAATTTAAATGTTTGCTTAATTTAGGAAACCTTTATACTATTCAAAAATTTGTTAAAAATTTATTAAATAAATTTTATGTATAACTATTTTTTTAAATTTCAGGAAATAAAAACCTGGCGATGAAGTATTTTAATATTGTTTTATTATGAACGGTCCAAGCCGAACAAAAAACTTAAATATTTTAAGAATGTTATAACAAACACATTTTGGATTCGTCGAATTTTTGTTGATACTTGAGTGAAGAAAATATGTTAAGCAGTTTTACTTAATAAAGAATACTGCATGAAACTTGCCCAAAAACATTAAAAATGGGCTCCCAAGAATTCAAGAATTACTTACATACAATTTAAACATATAGAGGTATACAAAAAATATGAGATTTGAAATGGCACTCAATCCGCAGCAGTTATCTGCTTCTTTTTTAGCACTAGATAATCCTCCTCATCTGTGCTAACATCATAAATATCTCGAGACTTTACCGGAGTCTTAAGTTTGGTCTTCTTCACGTTGTTCTCTAAGGAATACATTTTAGATATTGAAGAAACATTTTAGTCATTGATCAAAGACTCTACCTTGCGCAACGCGCTCCAATTCATCTTCCGTATCAATGCCCGACGAAGCATCTTGATTTAGATCCCCGTTTTTCTGACCTACTGGATCAGCATCATAGGTAGCCTTCACCTGGTTGTTCTCCACCATGACCACATCATCCTCGCTGGACTCGCGTCGCGAACTTGGCCTAGTCGCCTCATCGCACACTTCCTCATCACTCTCCGGCTGGCCAAGATCATTAGTATCTAGAGCGTATCGTCGCCAGGGCAGATACTTCTTCAGCTTATAGCATTTCTCGATCCAACCGCGTGTTACAATCTTTCCCTTGCCCTTCACTTGATTATATTTGGGAGTGTTTTTAAAGGCGCATCTGGTTGGGTAGAAGTTTATTTGTTAGCAGGGGTATTCTTTTTTAATAGGTCTTCACTTACATCAGGTGAGTACATCCTGGCTCCCAATCAGCTTTATATTTGGCACCCAAAGCGACGGCTTTCGCACGCAAATCTGCACGATCGGGATTCTGGAAGGGTAAAAGATGGGGATTAGTTCAGCAGTTCATACAGCATCCCTAAATTAAACAAATATTTGTACCTGTATGCCGCTGATTACCAGGAACACTCCATTTAGCAACTGATTAAAGGGACGATATTGGATCGGTGTGTCCTTGACCTTTTGTTTTTTGGCGGGCGTGGCTGCGCCTGTGGTGGGCGATGAATGCCGTTTTTGTGCAGATGGACGAGGACTTTCCCTGGCCTTCGAGGTATCCACGTGCTTGGAGGTGTCATGTCTAGCAGAAGATTTATCCTCCTTCCTGCCTGATTTCTCCTTTGAATGGGAACTTTCCTCTTTTTTTGATGATTTGTCTTCTTTTGTTGAGGATTTGTCGTCTTTTGTCTTTGATTTCCTTTCTCTAGAGGAAGATCTGTGTTCTTTTGATGAGCTTTTGTGTTCTTTTGATGAAGACTTCTCCTCTTTGCTGCTGGACTTATCCAAGGAATGCCTGCTGGACTTGTTCTTCTTGCTTTCCCTCTCCTTTTCCTGCTCCAATCGGCGGCGATCCTTGTCCGCCTCCAGATGCTTGCTCAGCCGCTGTTTCTTGGCATTCCCCTCATCGACAGCCTCGTCCTCGTCATCATCGCCAAACAATAGGGAAGCTCGATTGCGATCCAGGGGCTTGGCCTCCGAAGGAGCAGGGGCTCCTTGTGGCAGTGAACTGGGAACAGGCGATGGAGAAGGTGAGGGTTTGGGCGAGGGCTTGGGCGAGGCAGAGGGCGATGCAGCCAGGCCGGATACCTTGCCAATGCTTAATCTTCTCAGGGCTGTGGAGCCCGCATCCCGTATGGCAGCCGCTGTGGAGACGGCAGACGGCTGAGTCTCCTTTTTCCAGCGCTGAAATCTGGTGACCTGATTGTCTGTCTCCGAGTCTGGAGACTCCTCGCGAAGCTTAAACGCTCCGAACTGCATCATTCCCTGGGGCAGCAGTGATTTTACCTTCGGAGGAGCCGCCGAATTAGCCGGAGCAGCCACCACATGAACCTTGACGAAGGACAGGCCATATTGGACATGACGATTGAAGGGCTGCGTGCAGACAATCTTCAGTAGCTTCCACTTCTCCGGCAGGACACTCTCCACCAGGGCCGAGCCACTGAAGCAGCGCACACGGTTCTGGTTGCTCGAGTTCTTACTCTCGATAGGCGTCATAAACGAGCTGGACAGCAGGAGCTCCCGGAAATCGTCCGCCTGACAGCCCGTCCGACTGACCAAGACCTCTATAAAGGCGGCATGCTCGTTGCCAATATCTATGCCGGTTATTTGCTGCGGATCCTCGAATTCGAGGATCACATAGGCGGATTTTTCACCGGGCGACTTGATGCGCCACTTTTTGCCGGCATTCTCCTTCAGCAGATTCGCCGCCACGTGCACCTGGCAATTGGTAATGTTGTTACTATATGAATCTAAAATCTATGTCAGTTCTTACCGCATCTTCACTGCTCACTTCCCGTACGGACTTAAAAACAGCAATAGGCATTTCGCAATTTCATCAATTAAATTCAGACGCCGCTAATTTGGCGGGAAATTCCTTTGGCTAAATTTGTGGCAATAATAATTCCGCTTTTGGCAAACAAGTTCAATCTTTTGGCTGTGGAATTGGCAACTAACCAAAGTCCTTGTTTATTTGTTTTATTGTCCGAGACAGATGTAAACTCTGATATTTTTGTTTTGACGAAGATTTTAAAAATAAACACTGTGCTAATCGCACATCTCTAATAGTGCTGGCGTACTAGCTAATTAATACTAAATATAGTCTTATCTGAAATCTAGTATTTTTGCGCTAGTCGAACATCAATAACAGTGCTGTCAGGCTTACCGCCAAATATAGCTTATTATTAAAACTAGCTAGTTATTATTAATTATAGCTTTTTATTACACCAGTTACTAAAATAAAATGTTTAACTATTTGTTGCAAGTTTAGTGATGTTAATGATAATTCATTTCAGAGCCCAAAACTGACCGTTTTATAAAATGGAATAAATACTTTCTGCTTCATGTTTTTCACTTATCTACATGATAACTTTTATAACTCATTAATTAAGTTCAACTCATAATTAGTTTATTATCCCTAAAAGTTATTCCGCAAAAGTGCCAGCGTCAGTGAAAAGCAAAAATGAATGACAACAAAAAGTGAAAGTTTTGAAATGAAAACATATTAAATAGTGATGATCAATATTAGTAAGCAGTGACAAGCAAATAAGATAAATATTTAAAAAATATAAGCCCACAAAGAGAAAACAACTAAATATTTTAAGTTATTTCAATTAAAAGAATTAAAAGGGCTTAACTCAGATATTTATATTCATTATTGAGCCCTGTTTTATTAATTTAATTAGTAAACCGTGACTGTCGATGACAACGGTCACGGTTAACAGCTAGCAGCAGTTGCCCATCCCTGATTCCCCTTGTCAATGTCGCAGGCAAATAAATAAATATCAACAAATTACAATATAGAATGAGCGCGGATGCAGGGACCAAGGAGATCATGGCGCCATCGCGGGACAAGGACAACGGCGTCCAGATTGAGGAATGCGATGTGGATGCCACCAACTCGAATCCGCAGCCAAGTGCCAGCGATTGGGTGAACTTCTCGCAATGGATGCACTGCTTCTGTGTGGTCACCTTCGATCTGAATCTTGGCCAGGCCCTGGAGCACGTCTATCCACCGCAGTTTATGCCCAGCGAGCAGGAGGTTAGCAACATCTGCTACATGGCCTTTCCGGACTCGAATTCCGGCTGCATGGGCGACACCAAGTTCCATATGCGATTGCGCTGCACATCGCGTCGGGAATCCCTGCCAGGATACAATGCGGAGTGTTCGCCTGCCCTGCGCCAGGATGCTTCGCACTACTGGGGCTTCGTCTACTTCCGGCAGAAGAGGGATGCGAATCTGCCGCGCGGTTACTTCCAGAAGAGCTTCATCATTATCACACGACTGCCGTTCTTCAATCTCTACTACGATATACTCTCGCAGCTGGCACCGCGCTACTTTGACGAGGGCACGGATGTTTTGAGGCTGGCCAGCGAGCAGATCAATCGCCAGTGGCCCGGCCTGAGGGTGGGCAATCCCCTCCAGCTGCCCCTGCTGGAGTGCAGCTATCAGATCTGCATACCCCGCACTAGTAGCAGTAGGAAGTCCACTGCAGATAGTTCGGGAGGCTCAGGGGAATCCCCGCCAGCCCTGGCCGCTTGTCCGACGGCCAAAGTACTGACCTCCGTTAACGAAATCGAGCTCTTCCGATCCCTGGACTTTGTCATGGAGCAGCTGTACACGTTGTGGGAGCTGGTCATCACCGCCGAGCCCATCGTTGTGGTGGGCACCTCACCCGCCGACTGCTCCCACATGGTTCAGACCCTCCTGGCCCTGATAGCTCCACTGGAGTACTGTGCCGAGGCGCGTCCTTACTTCACCATCCACGACAGCGAGTTCCGGGAATTTACCCAGGAGTGCACCAGCAAGACCACACTACCCGCCTGTATTTTGGGCGTGACCAATCCGTTCTTTGTTAAGCTGCTCAAGGATTGGCCGCACATGCTCAGGCTAGTGGACAACCAGGTGAGAGGGATAAACAAATCGCACAAAACAAGTTACTCAACTCTATCGCCATCTCGCTCATTTTCAGAAAAACATGCAGCAGCAACAGCAATTGCTGATGGGCCAAAAGCATGCGAGGAACATCGCTTCGGCCACCTCCTTCTCCAGCTCCACGGAGCTGGCCGGCCGACCCCTGAAATCCAGCACAGGACTGAATGGCAGCTCCAACAATGGCTCCGGCGATTCCTCATCCGCCGGGCTGCACAGCAAGTACAGGCCGTATCTGAAAAAGGACAAGGCGCTGATCAAGAAGGTGCTGCTGGGCCTGAAGACCAAGCGGCCGGAGCATGTGCAAACCGCTCTGATCAGGCGCCACCTCCTCGAGTTGACCCAGAGCTTTATGATACCACTGGAGCGTTATATGGCCTCGCTGATGCCGCTGCAAAAGGACATCAGTCCGTTTAAGTCGGCGCCCAATGCCAGCAGCTTCAAGCTGGACGACTTCTTGGCCACCTTAGAGACAGCTGGACCGCAGCTCACTTCGCCGCTGAAGGGAGATTGGAAAGGCCTGTACAGACGCTTCTTTCGATCGCCCAACTTTCGCGGATGGTACGAGGCTCGCCACCGGGAGCTGCAGCTAACGCTACAGGATCTCCAGCTGCAGGCGCTGTCGGAGGCGAATCTGGAGCACTGGGCACACGACAAGCAGGAGGTAGAGATCATCGACATGATACTCAAGCTCAAGCAGAAACTGAATCTCTATGGCGACAAGGCCACGCAGCTGGAGGGGATCAATGGCACTCAGCAGCAGATCCGGGCACAGATTGAGTGCATGAAGGGTCTGCTGCCGCCGGATCTCAAGAATGTGGTGAACCTCTGATCGTAGTTGCACCAGCCTAGCTAAATCTTGTACTCCACCTATCTTTGGCTGCTCCATTTCCGCCCAAGGACTGCCGCCTGTCTGTTTGTCTGTTATCCTGTGATTGTGTGCGATGAGTGTGTTTATATCTCGCGATCCTTGGGAGGAGGTGCTCTTCATTATTGTAAATAAGTTTTATCCGGAGATTAGTCGCTGTATTTGTGTCTAGTTTAATTGTAACATAATCCCAAACAAACAAAAAGAGAAAAAGATGAATGTTAGTCCAAGCCAAGTATTAAGTGTAATCGATGCGATATCCTTTAAATGTTTTCAAATCTATTCGAAGCGTTTACCACTTCTTAGGTCACCATAACAAATGCTCATATCCTTGACTGTCTCAAATAAGAAAACTATACTTTTTAAATGGTTCAACCTAATCAAATAATACGAATTTGTGTAACTAAATTTTAATATTACCTCGATGGAGTTCTTAATGTTAAGATTTTTTTGTCATACATGTAGAAAAAAACATTGTTTATGCAGCTTATGAAAATTTCCGATGGGTTGAACAATGTGATTTAAAGCCAGTTTTGCTCTACTTTTATCTTGATTTCAAATCGTTGTGCAACTTTGTATATCGCTAAAAAAAAAAGATTGTTTATGTCTATGACTTTCAAATATAAGATAACTTTACATTACCTTAAAGATTAAATGCGTTTTTCTGATGGGATCTCATTATTTTGTATATATTTGTTGGGGAAACTATCATTTTCTTTAAAATTAAACAAATGATTTGCAATAGGAGTGCCAAAATGTTTATTATCATATAAATATAAACAAAAAATACAACTTAACTGGTACATGAACGTTATAATAGATAATAGATGCAATAATTTGATGGACATGGTGAGAGCGCCGTCGGTGGAATGTGAGATTAGATGAGAAAGACAATGTCGTCGGCGACCATGATCTGGTTGTCCTCGGTCATGCGGTGGACGGCGGCCTCGATCTCACCGCTGGTGAATGGCTCCTGGTTTCCATCGTTGATGGCCGTGGTGATCCTGGCGAGAGGCAGGCTCTGCTCGCGTGCCTCGCGGAACAGCCGCTGCAGATTGTTCTTAAACTCACCCAGCCGGGGATCGCTGATGGAGGCTGGCTCTGCCGGCGGTGTGGCAGCCACCGACTGCTCCTCACTGGAGGTGACCAACTGGGAGGAGGCTGCAGAGCGAGCGGGCAACGATCGGCGGGTCTCGCGGCGCGTCAAATCCCCAGCATCCGGCTGAGGTGTCTCAATATCCTCCTCATCGCTATCCGCACCAACAGGCACAGTACGTGTGCGTTTCGAGCGACGCGATGGGGATCGCTGGCTTGCCTGATCGTTGCCGTCCTCCTCCTCGGATCCACTGTTCCGGCGACGTTTGCTGCCGCGCTCCTTCTCCAGCACCTTCTTGAAGTAGGCGAACTGCACCAACTCAATGGCTGCATGGGCATCATCGATGGTAACGGACTTGGACATGCGTGCCCTGGCATGGGCGGTGGATAAACGGATCAGGGTCTCCAAAGTACGGGCCGTAATCGGCTGGGTGCGAGCCACATCGGTTTCCACGGCCTCCTGGGAGCGCAGGCGCGAATACTCATTGGCAATCGCCTCGCAAGCCTGCTCACCCAATTTGGGCTTCATGCACTTGGCAATGTGGATGTACTTGCGCATGAACTCCACGGACAAGATCTTCTCGTGACGCTGACGCGATTTGCCATGCAACAGGGCATCGTATTTCTCGTAGACCTCGGTGTCCTTTTTCTGTAAAAGCAATTTATAGTTAAATATTGTCACATGTTATAAACAGTGAGCCCAAACCCACCTCATCGCTGCTGGAGACAAAGGACAATGAGTCCGCGTAGGAGCTGCCCATGGACAGGGGTTCACCGTCGGCCTCCTTGGGATTGCGATAGCGATGCATGCGCACCACATGGTCCGAGATCATCTGGTCCACATCGCTGTCAATCACGTCCAGCATCACGAAGAGCAGATCGAAACGGGAAAGCAGCGAATCCTGCAGTCCAATATTCTCCATGGGCGTTTTGTATTGATCGTACTATAAACGAATATTTAATTAATAAGGAATTCTCCAGAAAATTAGCCTGTAAACTCACCCTTCCGTACACCGGATTGGCGGCAGCCAAAACGGAGCATCGAGCATTGAGCGAGGCATGGATGCCCGCCTTGGAAATGGTCACTCGGCCCTGTTCCATCACCTCGTGGATGGCTGTGCGATCGATATCGCTCATCTTGTCGAACTCATCGATGCAGACGACGCCGCGATCGGCCAGGACCATGGCACCCGCCTCTAGACGCCGCTCCCCGGTCTCCTGATCGGTGGTAACCGCCGCCGTCAGACCCACTCCACTGGAACCGCGTCCCGTGGTCGGGATGGCCCGCGGAGCTGTGTTCAAAACGTAGCGCAGCAACTGTGACTTGGCCACCGAGGGATCACCGATGAGCAGGATATTGATATCGCCACGCAGGCGTGTGCCATTCGGCAGGATCTTCTCCACGCCGCCGAGCAGCAGGCATAGAATTGCCTGCTTCACATACGTGTGTCCATGAATGGACGGAGCCAGGCTCTTGCTGAGCAGCTCAAAGATGTCGTTGTTCTTGGCCAGCTTCTTGCACAGCATGATGTCCTCGCGTGAGATGTCCAGATTGCTTTCCTTGCTCAGCAGTGATATGTTGTTGGCCAGCAGAACGGTGCGGAAGGTGCCAGAGGTGTAGCCACCCCGTTTGCCCGGCAAACAGCGGTAGCTTCCAACGATTTGTACCCGATCGCCGGGTTTGCAGCGATCCACTAAATCATCGTCGCAAACGATGTCCACAGAACGGGGCAATTGACCCGCCGGAGCCTTCTCAGGCATCTCCTGAATGGTCAGCGTCTGGTGATCCTTGTAAACGGACAAACCGTATTCGGTTTCCAACAGATTGCCATCCTCGTCCTTGGTGGGATAAGCGGCACCGGAGGGCACAGCCTCGAAGGACGTGAGATCGGTGTACTTGCGCTCCATGACTTTGCGGGTATTTGGACAATAGTGGACACTGCGCACCACCTTGGGCCGGATCAGGGAGACCTTGGTGACAATGCCCTCCACGCAGACCATGTTGCCCAGATACATGGAGGTCAGAGAGCGCGGCGTCACATGCCGATTGCCAAAGCAGCCCTCGAAGCCAACGAACAGATCCTCGTGCATCTTGGCATAGCTGGGATCCACCGTCGAGGCGTACTCCTTGAGGGCCCGCCCGAAGGCCAGCTGCTCATCCGCCGCATTGCCCAGGAGGCCCAGGGCGCGCTGCGGATTCTTGCGCTTTAGATCGTTGACATTGACGATGAGGCGCTTGCTCTTCTCCGCGATCATGTCCTTGACGTGGCCGGCATAGATGCCCTGATCCTCCTCATCGTCCAGGAAGTCCACATACTCGCGCTGGATGTCCTTAATGAACTGCTCCCCGTCGTGGGCCATTGTTTTGTGTGATTTGTTGGGTACTTCGCGGGATATACACTATATAACCAGCTTCGAACCGTTCGGTAGCGCAAATTAAACACAAATGCAAACAAATCGGGAGAATAAATTGCACGCCGTATGCGAGGCTTTTTTGGCGGGAATGCAAGTGCAGTGTGACCAGGCGGTGTGCACTGCATTACTAGCAGCCAATGATATTTCCAGGGCTGACGAAATTATCAATCGAAGTATGAGCACTCTGCATAAACAGATAATTAAAAAGTTAAGTAGTGGAATCAATTAATTTTTAAATTTTCTTGCTATTTGGGTAGCAAATCAAATAATCTAAAATGCAGAATTGTTTAGAAAATTAGATCTATGATCCCCATGTTCCAAATTCCACCATTCCACTTTTGTTGTCTCGGCTAACATAGAGAGGACACCCTCCTAGCATACTGAAATCTACGCAAAAGTACGTATACACGCGAATGTTAGGAGGGTGTCTCGGCTAACGCTACCATTTCGTGTCGGTGTTTTTGTTATTTTTCATGGTATATACCAACGGTATTTCGAAAACGGTCCCACGCAAATATTAGAAGGGTGTATCGGCTAGCATTCCTCCTAACATTCAAATAAGAAATTCAACTCTTTTGCATGTCAGGCGGGTGTCTCCGCTAGGTTAGCAACGGCACGCATTTTAGTGTGACCATTTTTTTTTACTGTTTTGTGATCGATGTTTGCCATTCGATAAATTCGATAAACGCTAGAGCAAGAGCAAAAAAGCCAAACTGTCATCACTGGCTGGAAACTCGAAACTGTCACCTGAAAACTAGCTCAACTCGCATTACACTCAATTCAAATGGTGGAAAAAGGAGACTTGCAGAAAATCCCAAGAATTTTTTCTTTTTAAAGAGAAGGGCAGTGCTCGATAGAAATTGCAAGTGAAAAAAATTTAAAGTTTCGAAAACCGCGATATTTGTTTCGCCAACCCTGCAGTGGGGGTCTTGTTTTTTTGTTTTGTACCCGTTTTCATTCGGCAACGAAAAGATTCCTAAAGAAAATTGAAGAATTAACCAGGTAAAAGAGCTAGGAACATGGACGGCGACAAGCAGGTGAGCAGTGGAAACTTGGGTGCAATCCCTAGATTCCCTAACCACATGGTTTGATCAAACATTGCAGCTGGAAAAGCAGCTGGAGCAAGAGCTGGACGACATGCCGGCCCAGGATTTGGACGACGACGATACCTACGATGAGTACGATCTGATAGTGATTCCCGACCAGGCCAAGACCTCGCCAAAGAAGGAGACGGCGGCGGCCGAGGAGGATGAGGAGGAGGAGGAGATCCAGGAAGTCGAAGACGACGACGACGACGACGACGACGATGATGAGGAGGAGGAGGAGGAAGATGCTCCGCAAAGAGTCGTGACAAAGCTGGGGCTGCGCTGCACTTGGCCAGATCCCGTCGCCAGCGAGGATTTGACCACCATTGAGTTGATCTCCTCGGACGATGAGCCGTCCATGGAGGAGGAGCCAGCTGGCAACCGTTCCCCTTCCTCCTCCAACAGCAGCGATGTGGTGGGCGTAATCGAGGACTCCGACAGCGAGCTCTCCAGCGACAGTGACGGACCCGGTGGAACCAACCAGCTGGAGCAATCCTACGAGGATCTAATGGCGCAGCCCAACAAGCACTTCGCCCAACTGGTCGCCATCAGCGAAATAGCTTTGTAAGTGGGGAAGGGAAATCTTATATCTATAGAAAAACACCTAATTCAATGATTTACCCTATCTTTCCCCTAGCAAACTAAACGACCTGGAGAAGATCGAGTCATCGGTGCTGACCCTACAAAATCTGGCCACTGTGCCGGCTCATATTTGGCTAAAGTATCTCAAGGCCCGCCTGGTGGTCACCCAGACGCCCGACGAGCGCAAGGAATTCGAGGAAAAGTGCGCCAAAGCACTGAGCTTCTACTACAGTAAGTCAAAGAACCCCTCCTAAATCAAAAAACCCACTAATATCATTCCTTTACAGACATACCGCTCTCCGAATTCATTGTAAACTACCTGGTGGACCAGGGAAATGTTGAGAATCATGTGCTCTGGGCCAAACTGCTGGCCGACTACCACGTGGAGCGTCCAGACTTTGGCGACAAGCTGCGCCAGGTGCTGTCCACCATCACCGACGAAAAGGAGGCCGCCGCATTTGAGGAAGTCCTGCAGAAGCACTGCGTCAGCTGGAAATGCGGCAAGGAACAGCGCCAGGTCATCAAAGCCATCGTGGACGACTATAAGCGTTATCTGGACGATATGAAGACGCAGCACAGTGACTGGGATTGGACCAAGGTACTCAAGCAGCATGTGGCCGAGGCACAGGTGGTGTTCTCCGAGGAAGACCTCAAGAATGCGGTGATCCGCTTCTTCTTTGAACGCACTGTGTCCAAGTTTCCCATTGCCGATATCCTGTGGCTCACCTACATCGAGTTCGTCCAGGGCGAAGGCGGCACTGCCGAGGAGGACGAGGAGGAAAACGCCGAATTGGCGGCCAAGAGACTAAGCCGCTTGGGCAAGGGCTTCTTGCGCTGCAACGCACTGGAGTTGGCCAGGCGCGGCGTACGCAGTCGTCCCAGTGTGCGGCTGAACCACAAATACCTAGATCTAATGGAACGCGCCGACTTCGAGCAGACCGCAGTGGACGAACAGATCCGCACAATACTGCAGCGCATAGTGCCCGATATGACGATGACGGTGGAGCTGCATCTGGACTATCTGGCCTATCGTGTGCGCAACACCAATGCCGGCGACGAAGAGCAGGCCGCCAGTCTGCGTGCCGCCTTCAACAGCGTCTGGGAAGAGCTCTCCTCGCTGTATGGCGACAAGGCAGACACTCGCTATGAGGTTCTGCAGCTGTGGGCCCAGGTGGAGTACACACACCTGGCCAGTCCGGTCAATGGATCGCACATTTGGCGTCAGATAATGGGTGAGCAGACTTTGCTGCCCGTCTATAAACATTGTATTTAAATCATTCTTTCCTTAGGCTATCCTGGCAGCTCGCAGCGCGGCTCCCTTTGGCTGGGCTATGCCCAGATGGAAAGCGAGTACAATGCTGGCCAGGGCACTCGCGATATTCTCCGGGAGGCCATTTCACAGCCCACCCTGGAGGATGGCATACTGGTGATGGAGCTCTACCGTCGCTATGAACGCTGCTATGGCACCTGTGAGTCTATTGCGGCCTGTCAGGCCATGGAAATGCCAGGTGATAGGCCGCGTCCGCGCATCAAAGTCCAGCAGGTATATCCTCGCCAGCAGCAGCCGCCACCACAGAATCGGGAGCCATTGAATCGCGAGCAGCGTCGCCGCCAGGCGCATGAGCAACAACAGCCGCCGCTGGGCAAGAAGAGGGCTCTGCCCAAATCTGCTTCTCGTACTGAATCCCCAGAAGGTTCACAGCCACCATCTAAGGCCAGGCTCGCCGAGAACCCGACTGCTGCAGAGGCAAAGGAATCTAACTTTAAGTATTCGCGTGAGTCGCAACGGTTAGCCACAAGTTTCATCCACTTAAGGCATTTTTATTTTTGTAGCCAATTTGGAGATCAACAAGATCTTTGTGAGGAACCTGCATCCCGCCTGCACCAAAGAGGAGTTGCATGGGCTATTCTCGCCCTTTGGCAACATCAAAGATGTGCGCCTGGTGCACAAGCAGTAAGTGGAGGGGTTTTAAGTCAAGGATTTCAAAGCTAATACTTATGTTTTCTGGATCAGGAACAAGCAGTTCAAGGGCATTGCCTACGTAGAGTTCGAGAAGCCAGGAGAGGCTCAACGAGCAGTGGCAGGATGCGATGGTCAACTGCTGAGGGGCATGAATGTGAGTGGGACTCTCTCTTATTTTATTCAAAGCTAGAATGATAAACTTAATTTTTTTTCAGATTTCCGTGGCCATATCCAACCCACCGCCGAGGGGCTCCACCTCTGATGTCCCGAAGCCCAGTGTGGCGCCCAAGAGACGCGTGCCCACCTCGCTGATACCCACGACTTTAGTGCGCCAAGAGGTGGCCGCCAAGAAGCGTCGCCTGGAGCAGGTCACTTTGGAGCGCGACGGCGACGGCGACGAGGCCACTACGTCATCGACTCCAGCTGCCGCCGACGAGTCCACTGAGCCAGAGGCCAATGGTAAACCAACCATCCCCGTGGAGGAAAAGAAGGAGGAAGAAGAGCCAGCCGCTGCGCCAAAGTCAAACGATGACTTCCGCAAGCTATTTCTTAAGGATTAGAGTGTAATCCCATCTGGCTGAGCCAGGGAGCCAGCAGCTAGGAGCTAGGAGCCAGCCAAATGTTAGGCCCAGCGATTAGTTTGTATTTAACGACGAATATTCGGAAATTACATTTGTAAGACTTTAGGCAGCCGAAACTGAACCAAAAGGTAAATTTAATGTACAAATTGAAACAGACAGACGTAAGACAACGGTTTGTTCGATCCGTAATTGGTTTTAAATGTTAACCAAGTAAAACAAATGCAGAATAAAACGTACATCTCAAAATGTTACCGAAAAAAAAACAAGAAAATACATATGAATATAAGTCAGTTTTATAAATGTTAGCCCTCTAGTTGAGAAATCCTTATATCTGTGAATCCTGGAAATCCAGAAAATGCCACTACTTGTCGTTCCACAAAGACGATTTTAAAAAGTACCCGAAACCGAAATAAATGTACAAAAAAACGTGAGTTGATTAAAACAAAGGTTGTTTTTAATGCTTTTTAATAGATAAGTGCTAATTGAACTAGGTGCGGAACTTGACGCTCTTGGTGACGGAGGCCTTGATGCCGGACATCTCGCCGCCGTACCGTTGGAGTTCCTTGCGCACCGTGCGCACGGCTCCCTTGCGACGGATGAGGGCCTTTCGGTATTTGCCACGGTGCTTGACGCGCGGATTGCGCAGCTCCTTCTTGCGGTGCGGAGTGAGGCCCTTGTTCTTGGCCATCTGGTAGGTGATGCCACGTCGCGCCAGCTCATCGTCCTCCTCATCCTCCTCCTCCGCCTCCTCATCGTCTGGCTCCTCTGCCTGGTTCTGATCCTTCTCCTCCTCCTTATCATCATCATCGGAGCTCTGTTCGGCGTGCTCGCCATTGCTGTACTTGTTCAGGATCTGCAGCTTGGCCTTGCGCTGTGCCACATCAAGCACCGTAAAGGCATCGCCATCCTGGATCCTCTCCAGCAGCGCCTCCAACTGTGGGCGTATGTACTCCTCGTAGCGCGGCGTTAGCTGCTCCACCAGCTGCTTGATCTGCACCAGCCGCTTGACCACCGGATGGAACTTGACGCTACTGCGGCGCGCCTTGAGCAGCAGATAAAAGGCCACATTGGAGCAGTATGTGGATAGCACGGTGTGGTAAAGGCTGGCGTACTTGAGCGCCGGCACCATAGGGACATTGTGGTTCCTAACGTAGTTAAGAACTGGTGTGATGAGATCCTTGACCTCGTTCAGATGCTTCTGAAAGTCCTGTGTGAGGCCAATGAACTCGGGCGAGTCCTTCTGCAGCAGCTGCCGGCGTTCGCGGGCTGTCAAACCGGTCAGATCGGTGGTCACCTTGGTGACTTCGCCCTCCTCCACCTCGTCGTCATCGTCACTGCTTCCGGCGGCCGCTTGGACATCGTCCAGCTGGAAATCGGCCTCGCTGAGCCGTTTGGCCAGGCGCAACTGTATCTTCTTGGCCTCCTCCTCCTCGGCGCGGGCCTCCTCCTCCTCCTGGGCATTGTAGCTGCTGTAGTCCTGGTCCACGAAGTCCGTGTTGTAGTAGGTGCTGCGCTTGCTGCCCCAGTCCATGGTGTTGGGCAGATCACGGTCATCGTCCTCGGCGCCCTCGATGTCGCTGTCCCGCATCAGCTCGGCCACATCATCCTGCTCCTGATCCTCCTCATCGTCGTCATCATCGCTGAAAGCCAGGACTTCCTGGACGGGATCCTGCTGCTGTCGCTTTTTGCGCTGCTTGCGCAGATCTTCCAGAATCTCGCGCTCCTCCGCATCATACTCCTGCTCGGAGCCGGTCAGCTCGTAGTCGTCGCCCTCGCTGTCCATTTTCTGGCCGGGATTTGATTCCCTTTTTCAACAATTAAAACTTACAATTTAAACGCAACACGTGCATAAACAAACGCAGACGAAATATCGATAACATATCGATAAGTTTAAGCCATCTAGGTTTGGTCATCTCTAATTTTCAGTTATTTCGCCAGCGTTGCCTGACCAAAAAACCGCGGCACTTAAAATTACAGTTGCTTTTAGGAAGAAAACTTCCAAACAAAAATTCCAAGAATGAGAGGGCGCAGCATGATGGGAACTCTAAAATTGCAGATCAAAACATTAATGATCCAAAATCAAGTATCCCAAATACACAGAATACAACGAAAGATGGCTGCACAGAATTCGCGTGCAAATATTGACCAAAAGAAGCTTATAAATCCGGTGAGACTGTTTTAATTAAGGTAATATCATCAAATAGCAATAATTTCCCTTTAAGATTCCTCCCGAACCCAACGAGCGTGATTCGGCGAAGCCATGTGACCACGGAAAGCCCACTGAAAAGCCAGATAAATCGAAAGATGTTTCACATCAGGATTCCCAGGGTCCTAAGCCACGTGACCAGAAAAAGTCCACCCCGGGGTTAGCCCCAACTAACACCCATTTTCAGATAAGCCCTGAAAATCCTAAAATTGAACCTGTAGATCTCTTACATCAGGATCCTCAAGATTCTAAACCATCCGACCAGCACAAGCCCAATATGGCCTTAACTGAAGCATCCCCAGCTTATTCACAGCTTCAGTTGCACGCTGTAAAGCCTAAAGATGAGCCTGTAGATCTCTCATATCAGGATTATCAAGATCCTATGCCATGTAACCAGGAAAAGCTCACGCCGGGGTTAACTGAAGAATACCCAGCTATTCCGCATTATAAGATAGATCCTGATAAACCTATAGATCTTTCCCATCCGGATCCTAATACTCATTTTCAGATGGCCCCTGAAAACCTTAAAGATGAACCTCTAGATCTCTCACATCAGGACACTCCACCAAAGGATTTAGCTAAGGCATCCCCAGCTAAGCGCTGTTTTCAGATGGACCTCGATTTCCCAACAGATGAACCTCTAGATCTTTCACTTAAAAATTCTCAAGATCCTAAGCCATGTGACCATGTGGTCCCTGAAAAGCCACAAGATAATCCTCTAGATCTTTCGCATCCAAAACGTAACAACGTGGAACAGCTTAAAAAACCGTATTTAGCTTCAAGAAACTTTAAACCGGTGAGTAATCCTAAGAACACATTTATTTTGATTATCCACCAACTATTTTCCTTATCAGCTGGGCCCGCCGCCTGAGCCTCATCTATTTTCTATGTCCACCTCAAAACGGGCGCTTATAAATTTGTGGAAGGCATTTACTGAGGAGAAACCTATTCGCCAGGTGAGTTTTCATAAGATTATGTCAGCCAGGGCTTTAAAATATTTAAAATTCACTGTTTCAGTCGATCTCTAATGATCTAAGCGATCCCGGCCCTGCGGCCTCGCATTCCAACAACTTTAAATCCCAGGATAGTAACATGAAAATTGATCCTGTAGATCATGTACTTCCTGTATCCACCCCAAAACTGGAAAATATAACTTCGTGGCAAGCATTTGCTGATGAAAAGCCCATTAGCCAGGTGAGTTTTAATAAGATCATGTCAGCCAAAGCCAAATATTTAATATCCGTTTTTCAGCCCGACACTGATGATGCGTTAATTGATCTCCTAAGCGATCCCGGTTGTCCGTCCTCAAACTCCAGCTACCCGAAATACCAGGATGGTAGCAAGAAATTGCGTTTTCCTTGCTTGCGGACGCTTGATCTGTCTCCGAAGAAGGACGTCCACCCAGAAGCCAGTCTTAGTACCTTGGCTACTGAGCAAATTCCCGACAACAAGGAGGACTACATGAGGCAGTGGCTCTTGGCCGTGACTGAATCAAGCTTGTCGGAGGATCAGAATCCCAAGGAATCTGAAGCAGAGCTAAAGCCTCTCATTGAATTGCCTGATAGCGACGACGAGGAGTTGGCCGATGGGACAAATCCCTTTGCCAATGATATGACAAATGCACAGGAACTTCCAAAACTCGAGGTCCTAAGTGCTGAACAGGCGGAGGAGCGAATGGATGACTATATACAGCGATTGCGGTTCCGCGTGGCAATTCCAGAAGGATGTTTGGTTGGTTTAAGTTTGCCATGTACAAGTAATTTAGTTAATGTTTCTATGCCTAAACAGACGGATGACATATCTAGGGTGGACAGACCCAGTGATGCCGTCGTCTTGGGCAAGAAGCTGCCTCCCATGCGTCTGCTGGACAACTGCAAGGAAAAGGATTTCATCGTGATCTCCGTGTGCAAAGTAAGTGAAGCTAAAAACACTTGGAATTCAATTTGTAACTTGTATTTCCCCTCTATCCCCAGGTGTATAGCCCCTTTCAGTTTTGGTTCCATTTCGTAAACCAGACGCACGACACCGATATGCTGGAGGGAATGACCAGAGACATGAAGTGAGTCCATGCGGATATCCATCTGATATCCAGTCAATAATAATTTTTTGTTCTTGCACCCGCAGCACGTTTTATAATTATGAGAATAACCCCAAGTACGGCATTCCCGTATCGAGTTACTACCTGAAAGCCGGCTATATTTGCGCTGCAAAACACCGAACCGGGTGGCGACGGGCCAGAATATTGATCACACCGCCAAAAGATGCCGAATGGGTATCCATTTACTATGTGGATTATGCATCGGCAGCTGAAATATCGCCGGATGATTTGAAATTCTTGCCCCAGTGCTTTGCGGATACACCGGCACTGGCTGCCCGGGGCACTCTCTCGCACATCCATCCATTGGACATTCACTGGCCACAGGATAGTACGCAGCAATTCCGGCGCTTGGTGTTCAGGAGGCACGTGCACGCCCACGTCATCGAATTGGATGCGGAGGAGGGCATACTCTTTATGCGGCTCTCGCAGAACAAAGACTTTGAGTTCTCGATCAACAAAAAGCTAGTTGATGCCAAGCTGGCTGGGGAGAGCCAACATTACACACAGCGGCTCATCGATTACAATTGCGGAAGAAGACTTCGTTACCTCCGAGAACGATTACCCAGGTGGGAGTTGGATACTGTCCTATATAATATACCCTTTACCAACCTTACTTCCCTGTTTTTATAGCTTTGAAATTCTGGAGGCGCGATTGATTCCCCTCAAGGACGAAGAGTTTGAAATGGAGTTCGATGATATCATATATGCTCCCTCCTTCTACAAACATTACCAGCTGCCCAAGCTGCCGAATCCCTTTCGTGCTGGCCTCCTGGAAGCGCTGGCCGCTTGGATGCCCGGCTATCGAAAGGATCAGGAGCACTGGTGCCGGATTTACAGGAAGGCCGATCAAAAAATAAGGGAGAAAGCGTTGGAAAGACAGAAGACGGCTCTTGAGAGGTATGATAAGTTTTGTGCTAAGATCGACGAAGAAGAAAGGCAAATTCTTCGGAAGAACCTTATGCATCCGAAGACCAAAAGAGAGTTCATGCTGTACCTTCAACTAAGGGCTGAAGAGGGTCCAAAGGAAGAGCACACAAATCCTGTAGAGCAAACGGCTCAAGTAAATCCAGCTGAGCATGGAGTGGAAAAAAATCCACAAGACCAAAGTGAGAAAAAGGTTACAACACAGCAAGTTGAGAAAGATCCAGAAGACCAAAAGGAGGAAAAGTACAAAGATCTGCAAGCGGAGGAAAGCGAACCAGAAGACCAAAAGACTGAAGACTTAAAGGATCTTGCACAGAACAAAAAGGAAGAACATAATGCGAAAAATTAAAAAGGAGAAATGGAGTCACTGGAGCAGGCAGCCCAAAAACATCCTGGGCTGAAAGAGGATGAGCATCAAAAAGAGGTAGTGGAGTCCAAGGCGGAAGTAGAGCAAAGAGATCCCAAAGAGAAAAACGAGGAAATACAGTCAAAGGAAGAAATTGACCCAATGGATCCAGAAGAGAAAAAAATGGAACCTCCAACAGAGTCCAAGGAAGACCAACAAAATCCAGAAAAAAAATATGAGAAAATACAGTCAGAAGAGCAAAGAAATAAAAATATTACAGAGAAAGTGGACTCCAAGTAGGAAGTGTACCAAAGAGATCCTGAAGAGAAAGTAGATGAAGACGCAAATAATGAACAAACCCAGCAGGATCCAGAAAAGGAAAATCAGGAGTTCAAAGAAAGGAAGTACAGCCAATAGAGCAAGAAGAGAAAATAGAAGAACTATCAAAAGATTAAAAACAGTTACAGATCAAAGATGCCTTTAAACATTCATTGTCTTCCGCATGTTACTTGTGAAGCCGATCCCTAAAATCGCACATATATATTGAATTTTACCCACTACCATTTCAACTTGACAAACTTTCCTTAATTACCAATATGTTTTTGTTAATCTTAATGCAGACTTTGAAAATTAATTTAGTCACTTAAGTTTATGTTTAACAATACAATATATTTTTTGTATTCAAAATCAGTCATATTTAAAGTATGAAAGTTACTTGTTTCTTTAATTATATTTTTTGAACAAATATGTATTTACTTTCGAAATCCATACATACATTATTTTTTAAATAAGTTTTATTTATCAAAAATAAAGTAAAAATCAAATATTTTCTTGCCTTGTCGACTAAAAGCTCTGAAACATTTATAATGTTAAGATGATTTTCGATGTTTAAATGGTATAAATAATACATAAAAATACAAACATGTATGTAGAAAGAAAGAATTTTATTAAGCCAACTTAAAACTTGAGTGAATTGTTTGCATTGTGTTAATGTGATGTACCCAATTTCATATTTCAGTACGGACCGCTGTCCTCGTGGATAGGGCACAGATTTGGTACTGGAACTATGACTTGGACTGGGAATATGCACGATCCGATCCGATCTGGTCCTCTTCAGGATTCCTACCGCTCGGCAGTTCCAATGAAATCAAAGGTGGACAGCAAGAACTCGCAGTGGGGAGGGGGAAAGGGTTCCTCCTCCGCCTGAGTGGCCACATCGCTGAGCTGGTAGGAGTACGTGGGATTGGCATGTGGGCCAGGTGCTGACGCCATCTCATCTCTCATCTCGTAGTTGCTGGGCTCGAGGCTCATCCGGTTGTCCGGAGGCGGCGGAGTCACAGGAGATTCAGATTCAAGGTCGGGAAAGGCCTTGAACCAGGGTAACATCAGGGAAATTTGCCTCCACCGGTTGGAGGCGGAAGCCTGGTCGATAGGATAGTCCGTTTGATACGGCACACTCTGAGTGGGTTGATGCGAAGCTATGGTAGCGGAAAGGGAGGCCAGGCCCAAGCGATCCTCGTTGTTGTTGGCCAGCGGAGCAGTATGTACCTCCAGATTGGAGTCCATGGAGCCCATCTCTGGGTAGGGACACCGAATATTCATGGGGGATGTGGCTGCCGTTTCCACTGTGACATTGGTGGCATTCGTGCCCTCCGTCGAGCTAAGCGAGATGCGGGCCAGCCGCAGGGGCGAGGTTTCCTCGTGGAGATGACGCAGCCGCCGCTGCAGCAGCTCCTCCTCTTCCTCGTCCTCCTGCTGTCGTCGCCGCCGGCGCTCCAGCTCGTCGGCCAACTCGGGATTCTGAAGCCTTAATTGCATTAACCGCTGCTCCTCGCTATTCTCTTCATCCGGCGATGACATCGAGGAAGCTTGTCGGCGGAAATGCATATGGTCCTCCTGTTCGGAGGAGTCCTTCTCTTGCTGCCTAAGCTGGGCCTCCATCCTTAGTTCCTGCTCCTTCAGCCGCAGCTTCAGCTCATTTTCTTCCTGGTCACGTTGGATTTGGATCTCCTGCGTCGACGGCTTGTTCTCAACCGCCAGGAGTTGGAGCTGACTGGGGGTCAGCTGGCGGTAGTCCGGATACAGGTAACTGGGTCTACACAAGGGAATTTAAGATAAATAATTTATGATTAAAAGTTGGATTATTTTTATAGATGGTTCCATTTGTAATAACATTACCTTTCTAACTCAGTGTGAATTCAAATGTAAAATTATAAAATTTGTGCAAAATATTATAAAATGTAACTAAAATCTAATATAAAAATATTAATATAATAGTATATTATTTTAAACTATAGATTTGTATATGTTCAAAAAAAAATCATATAATTATCAACATAAATTTAAGACTCATTTAATATAAAAGAAATCTAAGATCGATTATATCAAGGCGAAAGAACTATTTTTATAAACGGTTTCAGTATATCACTGTACAAATAAATATTATTATTATATGTATGTGCAAATAGAAAAGTATTATAATAGTCCATTTCAATTTAAGGATCAAATAGAAAAATATTATAATGATCAATTTCAATTTTAGGATTAAGGTCGCTTAATATAAAAGAGAGTATTAAGACCAAATATATCAAAGTGAATCACCTATTTATAAATGATATGAATATATCACTTGAAAACGATGTATGTATGTATGTATGTAGATAAAGTCAAAAATTTAATTTTAGGATCAAGATCACTTAATATAAAATAAATAAAAATTAGTTTGCATTAAGATCATATCAAGGAAAAATACCTATTTATAAATTGTATAAGATGTGAGATATTTACCTTATCTCCTGTCTTGGAAGCTGTTGGGTTATGGGCACCTGGGCATCGGGCTCCAGATGGGACCGATTCCCTGCAGCCTGGGCATGTCCACCGCCGAGTTTTCGCTGGCGAACCTGGATCAATCGCTGGAGATTCTGTCGGGACTGGTCGTTGCCGTACGAGATTCGCTTGGCAGCCCGCTCCCGGCGTTCGTCGGCATCCTTCCGGGCATCGGCCACCGCCTGCATCTTGGCCGTCAGCCGGAGTTCGCTCCTCAGGAATCCTCCGGTTCCGGCCTCGGCCATCTCGGCATTTCTTCGCGAGATCTCTTTGCCCAGTTCGCGGGCCCTGGCCAAATTCTCCACCCGCTGCTCACGGATCCTCTGCTCCGGCGTGATATTTGTTAGTCTTACATTATGATGATTCCTACGCTGTAGATTCCGTGCAGCCGGAGTTGGTGAATTGGAAGCACCGCGAGATCTGTTGGGACTGGTGGGCTGAGAACTGCCCGCAGCAGCAGCAGCTGCAGCCGCCGCCTTCATCTCCTCAATCTCCCGGAAGAGCCGCTTCAAACGCACCTGCCGCATCTTCTGCTCGATAGTGCGATCATTGAACTCCTGGATCCTCTCGTACTCCTCCCGTAACTTCTGCAATTGGCCATTCTTCTTGCTATTGTTGAACATCCGCCGGAAATATGGCGTCGATTTGATCTGATACGACATGGTCTATAGCTGTGATGGGTCTATGTGGGATTCGGAATATCAACGGCACTTGGCAATTTTGCACTTTCCTAAAGTTTTTTCTGAATATTGACTGACGAAAATGATTTTTTCATGTGTGTGATTTTAAGTTTAGTCAGTGAATGCCAACTGGAAAGTGATATACCTTCTGACTTGACTACCCGAAGCCTACTGACTATTTGACCAATCGAGCATGAATGCCTTGGCATTTCAACAAAATCATGACCTACTTAGTAATATATTTTCTTAAAATTATTACTTACTAGAAATATTTGATACTTTTTATGATATTGCTGCAAGTTACATAAATTATTGGTAGTTTCATGGTCCTAGAAACTGTTGGGATTTTCCTATTTTAAAGACGGAAAACCCTCAATTATAATGATTGCTAGCTATGAAAAGTTGTACAGTTAAGATTTGTCTTTAAAAAGTACGCAAATATCCGAATTTTTACATATACGGGATAACCCAATAGGACAGCTGTAAAATTAAGATTTAAGTAAATCAAATGTAGCTTTTTAGCTGAAAGAAAGAAAAACGAGTGTATCACCTGTAAAGATCTGAAAAATAAACCCCAACCCAAAAACAAAACTAGGATGGTTAATTATAGTCAGAGTGGTTACAATTTATTGATCGAATTGCTAAGTGCCTAACCTTAAAGCTAATTTGTTTGTCCAAAATGGCATTTCGAGTTGATTTTAAAACAGAATACAATTCTCAGACCTAAGAGGTTATGTCGCAGACACGCCTCCACGCACTATAACATACATATACAAAATGGTTTTTATGAAGATTGAGGTTAGGTTTTTTTCGTTTCATTTTTTTTTTTGATTTTCGGGTTTTACCCAAGATTTCTGCTTTTCTCTGATTTTATGACCACACGCGCATCTCCTACTCCCACATCGCTTACGAGCTATACATCATATATAATAGTTGAGTTAAGACAAGTACAAAAAAGAACACTTTGAACATGGGTTAAAATCTATAGGTGTAGAGTCCTGCTCCGAACGATTTATCACTGGGTTTTTATCATTTTTTCTAGGCTTTTACCAACTTGGCCATCATGTTGGTCAGTTTGTACTCATCAGCGCCGGAAAAAGCGGCCACACGACGGTTGTTCTTCAGGAACACAAAGGTGGGCATGCTGCGCACCTTGTAGCGCTCCGTCAGCTCCTCGAACTTGTCCACGTCGATCTTGAGGACCACGGCCTTGGTGGAGTACTTCCTGGCCAACGACTTCACCGTACTCTCCATATCCTTGCAGGGACCGCACCATGTGGCGTAGAAATCGAGGACAATCAGCTTGTCGTCCGCCGCCTCGATCCTCTTGTGGTAGTCGTTCATGGTGCGGACAGAAGCCATTTTCACGGATTTACTGAAGAGATTACGGGTTTCAAAGGTGTTATTTGAAAGTAGTACTTTTTTTTCGGCTAGGCGGTAACCCTTTCGAAGCAAAATTCTGAACTGGACGCACATGCGGCCCCGGGGAGCTTTTATAGGGCCCCAAATGGCGGATTGGAGACTGGAATTCCCGCCATTTTTCACGCCGAACTCGCGATTTTGCCGCCTCTCGCGGTGGTAAAAACAAAATGGCCGCCGTGACAGGGCTGCCAGGTGGTCGAAAAAGCAGCGAAAAGCTGCACTTCAAGGGTTACACTATTTCACCACACAAAAACTATCGCAGCATTGAATTAGTTTGCATTTAAAAAGTTAAACTAATTAATAAAATATTAAAAATGTACATATATACTATGTGTAGTATTTTTTAATTTCGCGATTTCTATGTCCCACCGTAATATCTAAGCAATTTTAAATTATAAAGGATAACAATTATATAATTACATATTTAACGTCGATAGATAACGCTTGGGATTATGTTGCATTAATTAAATTAAATAAATAAATTAAATATAGTATGGCATTATCTAGTGATTTATTTATTTATTTATATAAAGCTAGCTTAAAGTTAAGACTATAGGCTAAGGCCTTTAGCTCGTCTGAGGTATGGAATTAATTACATTATTTAAATTTAAACTGTAAACTTAATTTGGGCTTTTTCAAGGAATGATTTTAATGACGTCGTCGGGAGTTGGGTTTGAGATAGTGTCGATGGGGTTAAGTGAATGGAAGTATTCTGGATATCTAGTGATTTAAAAAGTATTTTTTAATATAATTAAATATAATTTTCTTAAATAATACGTTTGTTTAACCAGTTATACAGCTAACCAGTTATATTTACTTTTAAAGTCGTGGCGAACTTTTAAAAATGATTTGTACGGCTTATTTTAAATATTAAATTCTTTTAATGAATGTGCTATTTCTTTAGCCTCGAGTGTTATGGTTTGTTCAACACTGCAAGTCAGTAAGGATTTTTACAGTGGTCTTACTAATTCACCTCAACTCACCCCGAATGTCATTCAAATATTTTTTTTGAATCCAAGTAGGCAAGTTCAAAGGAATTTTACTTTCCTTTTAATTGGCAGGGCACAACTTATTCATTTCGGTCTGATATTTCGGTGTGAGCAGTCGTTCAGCTCCAAAATTTCAAAGTAATAAAAAAGAATAAAAAAAACCTTTCCAAAAATTATAATTTTTTTTCAAATTTTTTTTTTGTTTTTTAGTTCCAATCATGGTGTACTTGGTGAGGAACAAGGACGATCTCGACCAACAGCTGGCCCTCGCCGAGGACAAGCTGGTGGTGATCGATTTCTATGCCAACTGGTGCGGACCATGTAAAATTATTGCCCCAAAATTGGAGGAGCTGGCCCAGCAATATTCAGACCGTGCGGTTGTGCTCAAGGTGAATGTGGACGACAACGAGGACATTACGGTCGAGTACAACGTGACCAGCATGCCGACCTTTGTCTTTATCAAGGGCGGCGAAGTCCTGGAGCTTTTCGTTGGCGGAAACTCGGATAAGCTGGCCAAGTCCATGGAGAAGTTTGTCGGCGACGTGGCGGATGCAGATGCCGCGGAGCAGCGCCGTTCGTCCAGTCACCTGGGAGCGGGATTGGGATCCGAGGACGCATGCAGCGCCGGGCCAAGTGCCTCCTCCAGTGACATTGTCAACGAAGATGTGGTCATCTGCGAGCTGTCCGAACACGAACACGATCAGTTTAGCGCATAAAGCTGATTCTTTGATTTCCTCAGATACCATTTAAGACACCATCATATACCGAAATCCCGTTAATACATCCATCGATCCAAACCGATATCCCTAAGGAACAAAACCCCTCTAATCAAGAATACTTTCAATTGCTATAAGGTTGATGTTACGGCGGACTTCAACCTTGTTCTATAATACTTAAAACTATACATGAATCGTTATCCTCGGTCGATACTCCTTGGCATATTTAAGGAAAACTACACATCGTGTCCGCTAGCTCTGTGCTCTTATAACTTAGCGATGCTGCAACCATAAAACCAAACCATTGTACCACAACACTAACACAATAATCTATACACTATCTCAACTGAACGGAAATATGTACAACCGACACTGCTGGTCAGTTTTCCACGCATTGCTGGTTTCTTGTTAACACTACATAATATTGTTGCCCAACACAAAAACAAGTACAAAATATTTAACAAAGACGAAGTATAACAAACTGATTTTTTGTTTTAAAAAATGGAATTAAGGGGATTCAGTTTTAACTAAAGATTTTGGAGGATTTAAGTTAGAAACTTTGGGTCTACTGTTTAAAACCAGACGAAAAGATTTGCCAATATAGGCAAGTTAGTCATTTAGAAGGGGATGGGAATAGTTGCCTTTCTGGTCTTCCAAATTGCTAAACGCAATCCCTTTAGCTTAATTAACATCATTCCGTAGAATCTCAAAATTATCTGTTTAGGTATATATTTATTCTATACTTTAAATTATAAATGGAGTTGCTTGAACACCCAGCGAGCGACGTTTGCATTTACACCTAATCTGTGTATGTGCCGAGCTCACTTCTTGGCGAAAGTGATCTTCATGGCGTGCGTCGGCGTGATCTTGAAGCCCTGCAGCGCCTCCTTGGCGGCATTACTTTGCAGCTCCGTGGTAAACTCCACGAAGGCGATGTCGTGACGGTTCGGCACGAGACGTACCTCCTTGAAGCCAGGGAACTGGTTGAACAACATGGACAGCATCATCTCGTTGGTCTCCTCGGGCAGATTGGTAAGGAAAAGGATCTGGTTGGGCGGCTGCTCCGTTTGTGTGTTCGGGTTCGAGTTCTCCGCGCTCGAAGGCTTCTTTTTCTTGTCCCTGTGGGTCGGAAAACGAAAAAGCATCAGTAATGGTGGAAAAATGTATCGAAATGAGTTGTTCAATTTTGTATTGTTGATATTATATTGTCTATTGCAATAAAAGCTAATAAAACCGTGTGTTTTATCTGTCTTAAGCAGAAAATTATGTTCAAACATGTAAAATATTTATCAGGAATATGAAGTTGATAGAAAAACTCCTTAGAAAAGAAAACAATGCCTAAATTCCTTGCTTTTAAAGGCACATAACACGGTTTTTAGATTCTGATGACTGAAAATAGGCCACATTGTAAGGAAAACAACTCCACAAGACCTTGACAATATAATGCATGTCCAAAACTGTCTTTATAGACTTGACAGAACTGGTCCAAATGAAAGACCATGACAGGGCAATAATATCTTGTGTTCGAACAACCAACATATTAAAGAACCTGAGTAAGATACTCACTTCTTTTCCTCGGCACCTGGCGCCGGTTTTGGTGGCTTGATCTTCTTGGGGCGCTCCTTGAAGGTTCCCTTCAGCTTGGCCACAATATCCGAATCGGACTTGGAGTAGGCAATCTGCATGGGCTTGTCGTAGAAGGGGAATCCCTGCATTGTGCGCAGGGCATTCGAGGCGCTCCCGATTTCCTTGAAGATCACAAATGCCTGGCCGCGCATTTTCAGGGTTTTTAGTGCCACAATGTCCAGGATTTGGCCGAACTGCGAGAAAATCGCGTAGAGGGACTTCTTCAGCTCCTCCTTCTTGATCTTCTCGTTCAGGTTGTTGATGTATATGGTCTGGTTGGGTCGCACGTCCATCCTGCCGTCGTTTTATTCAATTAAATCGACAAAAACAAGAAAGTTTTCTAGTTTTTTTTTGGTAAAAAAATGCTGGCCTGGCTAGTGTTGACTAGTGCTCAAACTGTCAACGCGTTGCGCACCGGTATCGAACGGTGTTGCAAAATGGCGGTAGAAACTAGCTAGATGAAGCTAGATTTGGAAATTAAAATTAACTGATAAAAATATAATCATAGTAATTTGTATAAATTATTCTTATAATGGTTATAATTTATTTTGAAAATTTAATCCAAAGCAGAAAATCAGAGTTGTTATCTTATGTTATTAAAAAGTCATGGCAACTCTGTATCAGCAGTACTCATTATTTAATCATTACAAATAATCGAATCTGATTGAATATTCAACGGTATCCATATAAGGTCGTTCCTTTTATTGCTAAAATTGACTGTATAATTTTTAACAATTCCGTAATCTAACAACAGTCTAGGGAATCCCAATAATATTTTTGACAAATATTTAATTTGTTAACTATTTATTTTTTATACCGCAGGCTTAATTATCATAATTCAGTAGCCATAGCTGCTTCAACACGTGTTGGCTTGAAAACAGCCATCACTGTCATCCCTGCACCGCGATACCTTTTGCCGGCTGCTATCGGAAATCGCCTATCGGATATCGGCCATCGATAGCGTGTGCCAAATTGAATTGTTTTGGTTTGTCCTCGCGGCATTTCTTTGTTTTTGTGTTATTTATGAGGCTTTCCAACGATGCTGCCCAATCCCAACGACAAGAAGGATCGCTATGCCAAGTTGTCTTTCCTCGGCGAGGGTCAGGTGAGTTCTGTGCAAACAAAAGAGGCTAAAAAAACCGCCAAACTAATATGGGCATTTCACTCTTACCGGCTGCGGCTTCAGTTTGCCATTGTCTATAAGGCCCGGGACACGGTGACCAGCCAAATTGTGGCCGTCAAGAAGATCAAGAAGGGATCCCGCGAGGATGCACGCGATGGCATCAACAGGACGGCTCTGCGGGAGATCAAGATCCTGCAGGAGTTGCAGCACGAGAACATCATTGGTTTGGTCGACGTTTTTGGACAGCTGTCGAATGTCTCCCTCGTTTTCGACTTCATGGACACCGACCTGGAGGTGATCATCAAGGACACTAAGATCATCCTGACCCAGGCGAATATCAAGGCTTATGCTATCATGACGCTGAAGGGTCTGGAGTATCTGCATCTGAATTGGATACTCCATCGCGATTTAAAGCCTAATAACTTGCTGGTCAACAGCGATGGTGTCTTGAAGATTGGTGATTTCGGTCTGGCCAAATCGTATGGCTCACCGAATCGCATTTACACCCACCACGTGGTCACCCGTTGGTATCGGTCGCCGGAATTGCTTTTCGGAGCCCGGCAATATGGCACCGGTGTGGACATGTGG